ATTCATGTGTGTGTGTCAACATGAGGTAAGTGCTCAGGCCTAATAACCTCTTTTGCATCTTGTGTTCCCTCAGGTAACTCATGTGACACTAGAATTGGTGTGTCATGATTGCTAGATTCCAGCACCTTATCATCTCCAATAACAAATAATTCAGAATCAGGCAATATTAACTCTGCTGGCACTTGAGAATCTTCTTTGAAAGAAAATATGTCCTCTATGAAAGTAACATCCCTGCTAATAAAGAATTGATTATTCTCCAGGTTCAATAGTCTATATCTTTTTTGAGTTTCAGAATAGCCCATCATAACTGCCCTTTTGGCTCTTGGAGCAAACTTGTCTAGCCTGGTTAAGACAGATGCAAAAGCTAAACAACCAAAAACCCTCAAGTGATTTAAGTTAGTCTCCTTCCCATATAGCACAGTGTAAGGAGATCTGCCTTGTAACACACTACTAGGAACTTTGTTAATCAAATATGTAGCTGTTTTGACGCAATGACCCCAATATTTAATAGGCATTCCACTGTGAAATCTTAAGGCCCTAGCAGTCACTAAAATATGTCTATGCTTTCTTTCAACCACTCCATTTTGTTGTGGAGTGTAAGCACAAGAACTTTGATGTACAATACCAAGAGAAGAGAAAAGAGTATTACAATTCATATTAAAAAAATTTGTACCATTGTCTGTCCTAACAATCTGCACTTTAGTATTGAATTTTGTAGAGATCATGGTCAGAAAAATTCTCAAATTGAAAGTAACTTCAGTTTTGTATTGAATGAGACATATCCAGGTGAACCTACTAAAATCATCAACAATTGTAACAAAATATCGTTTCTTGTCATATGTAGGTGTCTTATAAGGTCCCCATATATCTATATGTATTAGTTGAAAACAATGATTTGAAGTACTATGACTTAGAGGAAAGGCTAATCTATGTTGCTTAGCTAAAGGACAAGTATGACAACAATAGGGCTTCCCAGTATCCACTTGATCTTTGAGAGAAGAGATGTGTTGCATTGCCTTAAGAGATGGATGGCCAAGTCTGATGTGCCATAGATCAATCTAATTTCTTGTTGTAACAGATGTGCATACAGTTGCAATTATTTCTTATTTTAGCAGATATAGACCATTGTGTTCTCTACCAATCCCAATCACCTTGCCATTGTAGAGATCCTGTAATATACAAATATTAGGAAAGAAACTAACGCTACAGGACAAGTCCTTAGTTAGTTTGGCTACTGATATTAGGCTGAACTTGAACTCGGGTACATACAAGACATCATTCAACTTAAGATCTCTTAAAATAATGGAGCTTCCAGTATACAGTATGTCTGCTCTTATTCCTGTTGGTAGTTGTACTGTATTGGATCCTTTTAATTGTTTAAAGTCATGCAACAAGCTTTTACAAGAGATAACATGATGTGTGGCTCCTGAATCAATGGTCCATTCATGTACACAGTGTGATCTTGAAAGAGACATATTACCTATTAGATTGGCTTGGCATTCCTGTGTGCTAAGATTATTGTGACTCTTGTCTTGTTTATCAGCAGCTGCATTATTAGCATAAGATCTGAAATTACTAGTACCTGTACTTGTGTGACTAGAATTTTCAGATCTACCAGCACTAGCACCATTATGATGAGAGCTTGATGTATTGGATCCTGTTTGTGGAGGTTTCCTTTTGCTTTTAAAATCTGATGGGTAACCTACTAGTCTGTAACAATCAACCGTAAGGTTATTTCTGAATCCACAAATCTCACATGGAGTATATAGAAGTGGTTTTTTTCCTTTGTAGTTTTGTCCTCTACCAGCCAACATAGTAAGTGGTTCTTTGTAAGAATCAACTAAACCTAACATTCTCTGACTTTCTTCTTGTACCACAATAGAGTAAGCTTGATTAACACTAGGTGCTTCAGATTTAAGAAGTATATCACTCCTTACATGACTATAGGTTTCATTTAACCCCATCAAAAACATCAATAATCTCTGTTGATGAAAGTGATTCGTGTAGGACTTTGCTTTAGCACACTCACAAGAAGGAAATGGTACAAGTACATCAAACTCATCCCATAAGTCTCTTAATTTGGAATAATAGTCAGTGACAGAATCAGTACCTTGCTTAAGACTTGCAACATCTGTCCATAATTGATAAACTCTTGTGAGATTTGATTTTTCAAACCTTTCGTTGAAATCATCCCAAACTCTTCTTGCATTTGATTCATACATGATTGTAGCTAGCAAATTTGGAGTCATTGTACTGCTAATCCATGATAAAACCACTGCATTGCATCTCTCCCATTGAGCAGCCAATTCATCTTTGTACAAACTCTTCAGGCAGGTTCCATCTACAAAACCTAGCTTATTTTTCACCAATAATGCCAGCCTCATCGATTTACTCCATAGCCCATAGTTTTCTGGTCCTGTAAGCTTGATCGTGTGTAAGGCCACACCAGGTGTATCTGAAGACTGTAAATACAGAGGATGGTGATGTGGTAGAGTCGTAACTGTCAAATCTGCCATTGTTGAAGCTAATGACAAGCTTGAAAGATATACTTTGCGGAAGATGATCTAGAACAAAAACTTGGCTCTGATACCATGATAAGTTGTGAATCTAAACACTCAAATGAATTGACATACATGAACTATGATCTGATCTTACAGATCTGTGAAGAAATGTATCCAGAGAAGAAAGGAGATTATATTCATTGTGTATATAATGAACAGAAAATACAATGTATTTATACAAGAAAATATCTAACTAACTCAGTGCATATTCTAACTAACTTTTTATGAGTGCTAATCACCTAGCTGCTAGGCCCACAGTAACTAACTGTATTAACCATATTATTGATTTCAATAATAACTATATACAGTTTCAAAATTATATAAATATAAGGGATATTGCACAAGTACCCCTTAACCAACATCCGAAATCTCAGAGACACACTTATACTATACTAATGTCCTATTACCCCCATGAACTTATTTTATTAATAATTTTCTACCCCTTTTCGGTTGAAAAGGGGTAGAAAATTACTTACAAAATAAGTTCAATGGGGTAATAAGACTTCAGTATAGTATAATTGTGTCTCCAAAATATCGAGCATGGGTTACTTGTGCATTTTTCCTAAATATAGGGATAAATATATAACTATGGTAATTATGGACAATTTCAGAATTATACAAATATGAGTACAACTATACAATCAGGGTAACTATATAAAATTTAAAAATATGCAAATAACTTTGTTGTTTGAAGTTATACAAATATAAACATCAGAACTTTAAAAAGTTATACAATTTAAACCATAACAATCAAAACTTTAAAAAGTTACAAAATGAATTAATTATATTTGATGATAAAATTGAAAAAATCAAAGAAAAATCACAATCATGTATAAATATAAATCAAACGGACAAGAACTAAACCATCAAAACAAAAAAAAAATTAAAAATCGAACAACAATTGCTCTGCAAATCTGAAAAATCACGAATCGAGAGGAAAAAAAAAATTCAAAATTTTAAAATCTTATTGTGTTAGTGCATTAAGGAGAAAATAAAGTAAAAGAATTATGGAGAGGGAAAATAAATTTTGGATAATAGGTCGAAATAAAAAATTACTACCTTATATACATTCAAAATATGGCTCACATAATTATCACTAATGTTAGTAGTTAAAATGTGAATTTGTATAGATTATACGGAAAAAGGTTAAAAATATCCTTAAATTATCTGAAATATCTTATATATACTTTTAAATTATATTATGGCTTAAAACTATCTTTTTCGTTAAATTATTGGGTCAAAAGTGCCCTTATAATTAACGAAAATTGTTAAATGTCATGTGGATGCCACATGACACGCCACTAGATTTCCACTGCCATATAGATTAAAAGGGAAAAGGTCAAGAGTATCCTTAAACTATCTGAAATAGCTCATATTTACCCTTAAACTCTATTTCGGCTCAAAACTACCTTTCTCGTCAAACTATTGGGTCAAAAGTGACATTCTTATTAGCGAAAGTTGGTAAATGCCACATGGATGCCACATTGCACGCCAATAGGTTTTCACTGCCACATTAACTAAATCCCTAAATCTTAATTACTCATTTTCCCCTCATTTCATTATTTTCTAGAAATGATTTCACCCCTTCTCCCTCATTTCGCGGCTAGAGTTTCACAATTTTCTTCGTCGTTGGATTTCAAAGTGCCTATTCGTGGTTGTACGTTAGTAAAACTTTTTTCTTATTTTATTGTGTAACCACGAAAATCCACTTTAAAACTCAGTTCCGAAGAAAATTATAAAACCTTGGCTGTGAAATAACGGGAAAGTTATAAAATTCTAGCTATCATACTTTGAAATCGTAAACATAATAAAATAAGAAAAAATATTTACTAACCTACAACTATGAATATCCACTTTGAAACTCACTCTCGAAGAAAGCTACGAAGCCTTAGCTGCGAAATTAGAAAAAAATTGTGAAATCCTAACTATCATGCTTTGAAATCGTAAAACATAATAAAATATTAAAAATATTTACTAGCTTACAAGCATGAATATCCAATTTGAAACCCAACCATGAAGAAAAGTATGAAACTGTAGCTGCGAAATAAGGGAGGACGGGTGAATATATCGTTTATGAAAATAATGAAATGAGGGTAGGGGGGGGGGGTAATTAGGATTTAGGGATTTAGTCTATGTGACAGTCTTATTGGCACGCAATGTGACATCCACATGACATTTAACAATTTCGTTAATTAAAAGGATATTTTTAACCCAATAGCTTGATTGGAAGGATAGTTTTGAGCCGAAATATGAGCTATTTCAGATAGTTTAAGTGTATTTTTGACGTTGTCTATTTAGTCTATGTGGCAGTAGAATCTTGTTGACATGTTAATAACAAAGATACTTTTGACCCAATAGTATAGTATGAAGGAAAAAGTATTTTTAAGCCAAAATAAAGTTTAAATATATATATCAACTATTTCGAATAGTTTATGGGCATTTTTGAGTCTTTTTCGTAGATTATATCGAGTGCCCCTATACTTGGGAGCAACGTTAACGAGTTCGGTGTGTGTTCCGAGTTCCGATGACTGTGGAATAAATAAAGGGTAAACCTCCATAGTTTGAGGTGAGGTAGACGAAGAGTAGTGTGAGTAGAGCATCGAATGAATACGTGCAAGTGTATAGATAAACAGATCATGGATCTATCGACCAACAATGACTTCATCAACCTTCACGACGACCAACATCACATCACCGCCGGTGTTAACCATCCTGTTCGCCCAATTGAATCCTTCCCCAATTGTAGCATTCATTGGGCTCCTGATACCAAAACCAACACTGTAATCGCTTCTCTCTATCTTCTTATCTATCTCTATACTTGTATTACTATCTCAATTAACTCTGCTTTCGATTTTCTTGTTATGTTGGTCTGAGCTTCGATTTTTCTCTATTTGTCTAGTTTCCTTTGTTAGTTGCTCTGTTTAAATATTCTTTCTACTTGGATTTGCTACAATTTAGATGAGTTACTCTTCACGTAATTCTGAACTATGATATGAGCTATGGATATTAAACCGCTTAATCAGTAAACAGTAGGACAAGGAAATGGAACTCTAAATTCTTAGGAGGTGTCTAACTGAGTGGTGGTGTAATTGGAAGCCACATCCTGCTTATCGGTGTTCTACTATAAGCTAAGATTGCTCCTGAAACCCTAATCAAAAAGGATGTTTGCTCCAGAAACTATTCGACTGTAAGTTATTTTTTTCTTTCCCTATATGATTACTTATATTTTCTTTCCTTATGTGATTCAAGTATACACCCTAGGTTTGCTTCTTTTTTTTTTTTTTTGCTTGGAGGGGAGGGGGGAGGGGGATGTGGCATATTCCCTCCTTCTCCAATTTTGGCGTGTCCCACTTTTCCTTGTTGGTTGTTTTCTAGATGATCCGCTACACTATCAAAGGGGGGTTTACCTTCTTTCCTCAAGTTTTTTTTAGAGGAAACAGTTACTGAAGTTGCTAGAAATTTGTGGATGTAATCAACCTACAAAGTATACTGAAATCAGAATAATGTTAGACAACAAATAATAAATATGTATGTGTAGAACGCTCACTCACATGTTTACCAAAGTTTTTCTCCCTCCTATTTTCTAGGACTGTAGAAGATCTCCTTTCCGCCTAGGTTCATCGTAATCAGACTTTTTTCCTTCCTGCCAACAGTAACCACCCACATTGTCATTATTGATAAAAACTTGTCATTATTGATAAAAACCTCTTCCCTTTTTATCTCTTGATAAGCTCTGTCTATGTCATGGGGGAAAACAGAATACGCTCTAATGCTGGTTTGAAGTCTTTTGATATTACCAAATGGACCTCATGCAACAATATCTGGGTTGAGAAGGATAACCCTCGACAAGAAGATTAAGGAATGGGTCTGCTTTATTCTTAGGGAGGATTCAAATGACCATAAGAACATGGTGAGGAGATGGAGGAAAAAGAAAAAATTGCCAAAATATCTATGGTACGAGGAAGTATAATGACCATGGTAGGTACATGAGTATCCTGTCTCTCAAGGGAGAAGCTAGATCAGTTATTATCCCTGAAATCTAAATTAGCCAGCAACGCAGGCTGGTTTCCTTTGAAGGAATCTCAGGTCTTCGTATCAACCGGAGGAAAAGACATATTTATCCCATTAAGTATGTTCCTAATTCGGAGCTTTTGTCTTCTTTTTTAGGAGGTGAAGTGGGTCAGATACCCATTGTCTATCTTGGGATGACACTGGGTGCAAAATCAAGATCCAAAGAGATATTGGATGCAGCTTTGGAGAAGTGTGAGCCGTGTTATGTTATGTTATGAAAAGAGCGCTTAAGCCCTAACGCAACGCTCAAAACTTGTTGAGTGCATTATGTGCGTTTCAGTGTCGTCAAGGTTTTAAGGCATACTTATCCTTGCCAATGAGATCTTAAGAGGCGACACTAAACAATTGATATTTCACGTTATCATAATTTTTTTTTCAATTTCTTTGTTCATATATATACCAGAGTGGCTGAGATGTCGTCACCTCAAGGTTGGGAGCTAACCTTAAGGATACTGATGAATGACTGGGAAATACCTAGATTAAGTGAACTTTTTAAACATCTCGAAACTTCTTAAGGTTGCAAGAGTGGGAGTTGTGGACGGGACACACCAAGAGACAGTATAAAGTGAACTCAGGTATAAAATTATGAATACTACAGAGCCACAAAACTTTATCTGGCCTTGGATGGAAACTCATCTGGAAAGTAAAGTTACCACATAAGGTTGCTTGCTTTACTTGGTTGTTATGCTTACGCATGAGAACTTGATGAAGAGAGGCAGTATCATAGCTTCAAACTGTCGTCTATGTGGGACTGAAGCTGAAACTGTAAGCATTTATTTTAGCATGTGAAGTCACAGGTCAGTGATGGAAGATTTCTCAAAATCTCAGGGGCATCTCCTGGACAATGCCTAGTAAGATTGTTGACATTGTTTTTAGCTTGGAGGAGGCTGGGGTTAAGGCTAAGCGCAGAAGAAAATGGCGGTTAATTCCAGACTGTATTTGGTGGACCATCTGGAAAGAAAAGAATCCCAGATGTTTTGAGAACACAAGATCAAGTTGAACTGTGTTCTGCTATTTTGTTTCTGGTGTACAAAGTTATATCCTGAAGATACAGAGACAATCCTGGATGTTTCTGATTCATGTTAGGATTGTATCCTGTTCACCTTTTTTTTTTTTTTTTTGGTTATTTTCTCTTTTGTACTTTCTTTTGTAAAGGGTTCAGTACTTGGGCTTCCCAAGTACTGGTTTATAATACAAAGTTGTTACCTGTTTAAAAAAAACAAGGTATACTGAAACCTTTCTCATTCTGGCACATCTAGATGAAGAAGCACCAAAGAAGATACTAGTATATGAAAACAAAGCTTTTACTTGGCCTTTAGCTATGCATAGGAGAGTAAGTAGGTCAGCTGATCTTTCTAATTTTCCAATTATCTTTTGCTATGATATGGATTCTCAATTGAAAAGCACCAGCAAGAAAAAACTATGTTTATGCTTCTCTTTGTACATGTTCAGGATACTCCTCCTATCTGCACAAGTTGATTGTGGGACTTTTGTGGCACTAGTGTTCTTGTTATATCTGTTTCTCATTTCTCTTGCTATTCATGTGTGTTATGGTGAATCCTGTAGTTGGAGTTTGACATGCATTGTTGGGTCAGATTTTGGAAATATACATACGTTTTGTCAATGATAGGGATTCTATAATTGTCATTTCTCTAATTCAATGCAGAATTATAGTTCTCCCGACTCAATAGAACCAGCCAAACTCATCGTGGAGAAAGATCTGAGCACTATTGATGCATCATTGTTATCTGAAATTGATCATACAGTGAAGAAGTATGCTGATAATCTTCTACATGCAATAGAGAGTGTGAGCGCTCGACTATCACAATTAGAAACTAGAAGTCGCCAGATTGAAGATTTTGTTGTGAAACTCAAGTTGTCTGTTGATAATAACCATGGGAACACTGATGGAAAACTAAGACTGGTGGAAAATATTCTGAGAGAGGTATCATCTATTCAGTTTCTTCCTAGTTTGTTCTTTAACTGAACTGCTGTACAGCTTGGCAAGTGTAGGCTGCATTATTTGGGATCTTTTGTTAATTGAAGTTGCACTTATCATTCATATGCTTTTCGCTTTCTCTTGCTTGCTGATTTTTACACTAATCTTAGGAATTCCGCACTATGCCTTTTTGTATTACCGTGTCATCTATTTTCAGTGTCATTCTTTTAGAGAAATGCCCTCGGCATAAATATACTCTTATTGATACAATCCAGTCTTGCACGGAGAAATTCTCTCTAATTATGTTATGTGGTGGAAGTAATTCTATAGGTTTTGAGCTATAGAGATGTTTCATGAATTGTTCTAAATTTGCATTGCTACAATGGTTCCTGTTTCTGAGTTGCGTCATATGTATTGCGCAACACCATTTAGGGCCTTTTAAAATCTTTGCATCCATAGCCTGTTAAGTGGTTTCAGCACTAAAATCGTCATTGTTCTAAGCTTGAAGAAATGGATCTTGAATTTCAAATATAAAAATTTAGTTTAAATGAAGTGGGTGTTGTTTGGAAAATTTGAGAACATTGTCAGGGATGAAGTTTGGTAGTCTAATCTTAAGCAAAACTTCAGATTTACATATTACATTTACTTCAAAAAAAAAAAACTTCCGATATACATGTTTGGCCTTGGCAAGCCAAACTTCAGGCGTGACTGTCGGATGTTTGGCCTTGGCAAGTCAAGCTTTAGGTAAAATGTCGGAAGTTTGGTCATGGCAAACCAAACATCAGGAAAAATGTCGGATGTTTGTTGCCAATTTCAAACATGAATTTTGCAATTTCAGTTGTGTATACCTGAAGTTGGTTCTGAATTGGATAAAGTTGCTAATTTTTATACACTGGTTATGGATTTAAGGTTTTCCCAAATTGGCTGCCTATGCACTGGCCCCTTCATATTCTAGGTGGGCCCCTTGCCTATAGCAGTACAACTATCACTTCAAAGATTTTGTTGAAAACAGAGATATCAGCATTTGAAAATGGATAAATGTTATCAAGAACTGATGGATTTTTTGGAGTTCTTTTTATTTTCTGATGTTGGGAGAGGATATTCTTGGATGCTCCCTATTCTGGAAGGAGAGAATCACACCTATAGCATATTGAATGAAATTTATCGTAATTTTCATTTGGTGATTGCTTAAAGAATTATTTGACCTTGCTTCTATATCTGTTTCATATTAGGCAAGATCAAATTTTGAGTTACCTGTCAAAGCAGATTGAGTTGTAACAAAAAACTGAAATTGGACTAAAAATAAAAAAGAAAAGAAGAAGATGAAATTCGAATGAAAATATTTTAGCTGCTTCCTTTTTCTTTTTGTATCGTCTCTGTGAACTGTTATTTTCTTGTTACACAAATTTCATGTAGGTGCAAGATGGAGTACAAGTCATAAAGAATAAACAGGATATAATGGAGACTCAACTGCAGCTCGGAAAATTGCAAGTTCCAAAGGAAATAGACAGTAGTATTGTTGACTCAGCGCATCATAGGGCATCTGCTCCTCTTCAATCTCACCAACAATTTCCTCCTGTTGTGCTTGCTCAACCGCCTTCCCCTCTTCCTCCACCAAATGCTCCTCCACCCCCTCTGCAACAGAAAATTCCATCTCAAGTTGAGCTTCAGGACCAGTTTCCTCAGAATCTCATTCCTTCTGGCACTCAACGAGAAACTTACTTCCCATTAACTGGTCAAGCACCAGAAAACTCTAGTCAGCAGAACCAACAGTCTGCACCACATCAGCGGCTACAGACTTCTATTCCACCACCCCCACATCAACAGTATCTGCCTTTCCCTTCATCATTGTACACTCAGCCACCTGTACCTTCTCAAGCTCATTCACCTCTTCCATCTGTTAATCCCTCACAATCTCAACCTCCATTGATCCATCATCCTGAGGAAAGACATTTTATAGCATCCCAGACTTATCCACAAGCAAACACTAGTCAATTTCCCTCTCATCCATCAAGTGGAGCCCCTGTGTCACATCATTTTTATGCAGCTCCTGCTAATCTGTTTGAGCCGCCATCTAGCAGACAGGGTTCCGGATTTTCCAGCGCATATGGCCCATCAACTGGACCTGGTGAATCTTACCCTTATAGTGGGTCCACAGTTCAGTATGGCAGTGGTTCCCCATTCAAATCACAACAACTTGCTTCACCCTTGATGGGCCAGAGTGGTGGAAATGGTTACCCACAGCTTCCCACAACAAGAATATTACCTCAAGCACTACCTACTGCTTTTGCAGTTAGTAGTGGGTCTAGTTCTCCTCGTACTGGAAATAGAGTTCCTATTGATGATGTAGTTGATAAAGTGACAAATATGGGATTTCCAAGAGATCAAGTAAGAGCAACTGTGCAGAGACTGACAGAGAATGGACAGTCAGTAGATTTGAATGTGGTGTTGGACAAATTGATGAATGGCGGGTAAGGCCAGCCGCCACAAGGCTGGTATGATAGGTGACATGTTTCCACTTGTTCATGTTTCTCCATAGAAGTTTGAGGTACATATATGGAAATAAAGAAAATCACAGAACAAATTTGGAAAAAGGACAGTCTCTGTTGGGATTTAAACGGACTCTGTTTACTTCTGTCGTATAACTTCTTTCTTGTGCTTACAGATTATTTATTGTATATTAATATGTTATTTCCTTTCCCCATTTCAAGCCTTTCTTCTTTCTTTCATTGAATAAGTACAAAGCATTTTGTGTTTGCTGTTTGGCCATCAGTATGCAAGTTCTTTGAATCTCAACTAGAAGGAGTTGGATTAGTTTCAGCAACGTGTGCTGAAATTAGTTAGTTTAGAGAAATTGACCAAAATAGTCCTTGATGTGTGGAGATCGAGAGTTTGTTTCAATTAGTTTAAAAGTGGTTAAATTTACTTTTAAGTCATCTTTAACCAAGTTAAAGCAAGTGTAAATGACTGAAAAAAAGTACTTGAGAAACTAAAAGTATTTGACCTACCCTATTTTTTATTGACTTAAAAATTATTTTTTTAAAACTATTCTTTTCCAGTCAATCTTAATTGGCTGTGAACCTTTTTTGTCCTTGATATATCCCCTAGAATTGAGAGAGTGCCTAATGTACATAAAGATGATACATTTGGTTCCAAGTAGGTGTGTTAAAATGGGTTGATTGGACTGAACTGGGAGAAACTAGAGTAGATTGAATTTGAAATCGAATTAAATTAAAATCCGCTTAAATTTACTTTTGGATAAAATGCGTCGGATTTATAAATCAATTTCTGTCATAATATAAGTTCTTGATTTTAAAGCGGAAAGTCACTGAAAATTGTACAAACTAAATAAACATATATTATTTAAGTTTACTCACTCGACATGTATTCTATAGAAAAATATAGTTAAACATTTTTCAGTTATTTTGATTCCAAAAAAACAAATTACAAAATAAAAAAAGATAGATAAATACTAAGTAGATAGTAATTCGTTGCATCAATGCAACTAAAGTGTCTTTAAAAATGGATAGATAAATACTAAAATATTCATTGCCCCAAATGCAATTGAAGAGTCATTTAAAAAATGCATAGATAAAGACTAAAATATTCATTGCACCAATGGAACTAAATAGTGTTAAAATTTGTTGAATTGGAGGTTAAATTAGATTTAATTGAAGATTTTTTTTTTAAAAAGGAGTTAATTCTTGAATAAGTTGAGATTGACTCACTTTAATATTCTTTAGCCCAACTTATAAATTTGGAGGGATTACATATATTTGAGCTCATTTTGACTAGGGCTGGACCTATGGTATTTCGTTTGAAATTTTCAAATGTCAATCGATATTGATTGTTAAAAGTAGATATTAAATATCAAACCTTTAAGTTTCTGTTCAATATTGATAATCAGTAAACCAAATTTCCATTACGTTAATATTGTAGTTAAGTTGGAGTCCATTGTATTATAAAATTTAATACCATTGCTTCAGTTGTTTTTTTTTGACGTAGATGCATGATATAATAAAAAACAACAAGTTAGAATGAATATATATTTGGACATGTTAAGGCTTTACAATCTAACTCACCTTCACAATTTTAGGTGTAGTGACGGAGCGAAAAATTTCAATAAGGAATGTTAATTGTTATAGTAAAAAAAGGGCTAGCAGGCTAGAACACATGGCCTTCGAGAACATTTACGACATTAACAACTGCACTAAACCTTCATCTTGTGCTAAGAGGTGTTAATATTAAATTATCAAAAAAGAATTTCGGTTCGATAATTTAATTTTCAATATTTAATGTCCAACCTAATTTTGAAATTATAAAATCCGTTTTAGCTATGACTTTTAGTTTTAAATTCCTATTATTGTAGTTATTGCTTTATTATTTTATATTTTGATAATATTTATTTACATCTTGCAACAACATTGAGTAAGAAATCAATGATCCATGACGAAAAATACTTTAATTATGAATATTTCATTTATCTCTTCACATTATAGTTGCACAAATAAAAAATAATTAACAACTTAAATATTTAAAAATCATATTACAATTTTATCACCTTTCTAAATTATATTGTATCACATAACTTAAAATTTAAAAAATATTAAAATATTAGGCACGGGCATCGTGTCTGTGTAAGTTAAGAAAGTGACTTCAATATCAACAAATAAGTGAAGTCCACAAGTGGCACAATGAGATATATGTATACGTATGATACTATTGAGCTATCTGTAGATTTATGTATAACAAAATATGTTGATTATTTTTTTTTTTATTTGACACTGGTGTATTTATTAATCATTAAGAAATTTAATTGATAAATAACAAATTAAAATGGGTAAATATTGATCCTCATATTTGTGGTTTGATAAAATACCTTTTAATATTGTTTTATTCAAAAAAAACCCGCTAAATTAATTAGTAATTTTATTTACCTCTCTAAACATGGTAGTTTTTACCCCTGTTGTCCTGCATGTTTTCGTCTAAAGAAAGTGATATATAAACACTTGCTTTCCATATAGATTATTTGTTCACATGATATTTTTGTTTTTTTATAAAAAAATCAGCTTAAATTTATACAATACTTTTCTAGAACTTTATTGTTACGATCCAAATTGTCGTTATTGGCAACCACACTAACCTTTTGGTGGGAGAACCATTACTACAACCTAAACAATTTTTTTTTTTATGATAAAAACTAAGGCATTTAATGATACGGAAGCAGGTTTAAATGACAATAAAAATGGAGTCCCCATAAACTCCAAGGTTTTAACAAACAATTAACCAAATTAATGCGGAAACACAACCCCTAGAGCCTGAAAGTCACTCTACAAAAACTCTACTAACGACAAGTCTAAAAATAAGGGGTACAACCCCGAAATTAAACAACACCTTAAATAAAAGCCCGAGTTCGAAAAGAGTGGACTTTAACAAGAAAGATTCATGACAGCCTAAAAGAACTGACTCACCCTTAAATCTGGTCACGCTCAATAGTCACATAGTTGAGTTCTATCAGTAGTCACCTGAAGATGCCCTGTACTAAACAAAGAAAAAGCAAGTGCAGTATCAGTACACAACCATAGTGTACTGGTAGGATCACACGACTATCCCATTAAATGCAACATATATAAGTCATTACAACATATTAATAACATGCATACACCGAACATATATACAATATCAATATCATTTACGAATAACGATAAAGTTCACAATTCTCAAATTACACAATTATGTCAAGTAAATGGTCCTCTCATGGAACCCACACCCAAATTGTTAGCATACCGAAACGTGATATTCGATCCAAGATTTATGTCGAAACGTGGCAATCGATGATCCATATATTCATGCTGAATTATGGCAATCGATCCGTACATTTATGCCTGAACGTGGAAACTGATCCCAGTTATTATGTCGGAACGCAACTCCCGATCCATTCAACAAGACACAATCACAATCACAAGTATATTCTTAAAATCATGAAAACCTATCTTCATAATGTAACCCTCCCTTAACCTTAGTTGATGATATCTTGATTGAAGGTCAATCTTGGAGAAGAAACTAGTACCTTGTAGTTGATCAGACAAGTCATCTATCCTCAAAATACGGTAATTAGTCTTTATCATAACCTTGTTCTACTGTTGATAATCAATACACATCGAAGTGAGACATCATATTTTTGAATAAAAAATCGGAGCAACCCATGGTGAGATACTCGATCGAATGAAATCCTTATCTAATGAATCTTTCAACTGATCCTTTAACTTTTTCATTTCTACCAGAGCCTTACAATACAAAGGTAGAGATAGCTTGCCTATATATAAGAAGGTCATTTTCAAAATCTATCCACGGGAGGAAAATGGAAAGATCATAAGATTACACTTTCAAGAAGTTATCAACAACTAGAAGAGACTTAAGAGTAAGGGTTTAATAATATGTAACCGTAACTTGAGTAAGATGGAAAATACTACCTTTAGAAATTATTTTACTAGCCTCTGGGCAAGATATAAACTTACCTATAGGTTGTGAATTTCCACCCTTCTATTTTAAGATTGTTTCATTTGGAACTTGAGATGTGACCACTCGATTGCTACAATCAATGGAGGCATAACAATAATGAAGACAATTGATATACCGTGGTTTCACGGTATAATTAATACCTTTTTCTTAAGTTTATTGTGTTCGAAAGCCTTTTTGTGCTAATTTTGATATAAGTTTTTCTTTGTTTTGCAGGAAATCTGTCTAAAACTGAATGCGGAGGTTTTGAGCGAAAAATGCAGAAGAGACCACCTACGGAGCTTATGACGGTCCGTCACACTTGCCGTAGAGGGGAATGAAGAAAGCAGCAGAAGAATTGCACCAAGTATGGGGCGATGGAGCCCACGACGGTCCGTCATGACCACGACGTTCCGTCGCGTGGTCCGTCGACCCAGCCGCGTTTTGATAGATTTCCAGTAATTAGAATCCTTGTTTAATTAGGTTTTTATTTTTTTATAAATAGTTCGAAAAACCTCGTTTTGGAGGTTAGACTCTTGGAGATTAAACATCATATTATTAGACTTTGTTTTTCTGAGTTTTTGATTGTTGGAGATTCTTACAAGTAACTCTTGTTGATTAATCAAGCAAATTTTCAAACTTTATTCTTTCTCATTAAAGTAAGTACATGACTTCTTGTTTAATATATTTGAATGTTGTGTTTATGGATATGAGGAACTAAACTCTATAACTAGGGTTGTGGGAACCATAGGCAAATAATGAGATAAACCCTAGCT